GGCTGAAGATGCAGGACAATCACGATTTGGCGCAACACGTGAATGTCTTCAATCAAATCGTTTCTGATCTGGCTCGGCTTGATGTGAAAATTGAGGATGAAGACAGAGCGATGATTCTATTGTGTTCGTTGCCTCCCTCTTATGAACACATGGTGACTACTCTTACATATGGGAAAGAGACTATCAACGTTGAGGAGATTACTGCAGCCTTGTTGGCTCACAACCAGCGGAAGCAGAATGCAGGGGAAAGCTCTCAAGACGATAGCTTATATGTCAAGGGTAATCGAGATCGTGGACGGAAGCCAGAGAAGGCAGGGTTCGGGAAGCGAAATTCCAGATCCAAATCCAGGGATAAGAAGACGATTCACTGTTACAAGTGCAAGGAGGCGGGACATATGAAGCGAGACTGTCCGAAGTTGAAAAAGCAGACTGATGAGAAGCGTGATGGCTCATCCAAGTCTGTGAACGTGGTCGAGGATGATAATTCTGAGTGCAGTGAGGGTGATATGTTTTCTATTTCAACGACACAATTGACGGATGCTTGGATTCTTGATTCTGGATGTTCTTATCACATCACGCCAAATAGGGAATGGTTTTCGACATACAGGCCGGTTAATTCTGGTTCGGTTTATTTGGGTGATGATCGATGTTGCAATATTGTTGGTATTGGTGATGTCAGAATTAAGATGCACGATGGCTCTGTTCGGACGTTGAGTAGTGTTCGACATATCCCAGACTTAAAGAAGAATTTGATTTCCTTGGGCACTTTGCACAATAATGGTTTTATCCCTAAGGCTGACGAGGATAGGGAAACCATTCGGATTGTTAAAGGAGCATGAGCATTGACTGTGATGAAAGGCAAGATGACTGCAGGGAATATCTACAGATTGTTAGGGAGTACCATTGCAGGTGGAGTTCACTCTGTTGAGTCCTGTGATGAAACGACAAAATTGTGGCATATGCGCCTTGCTCATCTTAGTGAACGTGGTATGGCAGAATTACACAAGAGAAACTTGTTGCATGGTGTCAAAAGCTGTAAGCTCGATTTTTGCAAGTATTGTGTTATTGGTAAACAGACTAAAGTCCATTTTAAGACTGCGAAGCACACAACTCAAGGGATTCTTTATTATGTGCATTCTGATGTATGGGGGCCTTCCACGACATCGTCTTTGGGTGGATCTAGGTACTATGTTACTTTTATTGATGATTTTTCACGGAAAGTTTGGGTGTATTTTTTGAAACAGAAATCTGAAGTTTTTGAGAAGTTCAAGCTGTGGAAAGCTGAGGTAGAAAACCAAACAGGACGAAAAATCAAGTGTTTGCGGTCTGAAAATGGTACGGAGTACACAGATTCACAGTTCCTACAATTCTGTAAGGAGCATGGGATTCAAAGGCATTTTACAGTGCGCAAGACACCACAACAGAATGGTGTTGCGGAACGAATGAACAGGTCATTGAATGAAAGAGCCAGATGTTTGCGGTTGAATGCGGGGCTTCCCAAACACTTCTGGGCTGAGGCTGTTAACATGGCGTGTTACCTTATCAACAGATCACCAAGGGCATCGCTGGCTGGGAAAGTTGCAGAAGAGGTATGGACTGGTCATGATGTTAGTTTTGATAACTTACGGATTTTTGGTTGTCCTGCTTATGTGTATGTACCTGCTGATGAGAGATCCAAACTTGATGCAAAATCGAAGGAGTGCATTTTTCTGGGTTACAAGAAAGGTGTCAAAGGATTCAAGTTCTGGGATCCAGTTGCGAAGAAAGTTGTGATTAGTAGAGATGTCGTTTTTGATGAACAGTCCATGTTGCAGCAGAAGCAAGACACGACAGTGGTGGATTTCGAGCAGTTTCCAGTTGAGAAACCAGAAACTTCTCAACCGACTTCTGGTGGTTCCACTACGGATGATTTGCAGGATTATAGTCTCGCCAGAGACAGGGTGAGACGGACGAATATAAAGCCTCCGAACAGATTGGGTTTTGAAGACTTGGTATCTTTTGCACTTATTGTTAGTAGTGATGATCTGGTTACTTTTCATGATGCCGTTACTAGTCAGGAAAACGACAAGTGGATAGCAGCCATGGTTGAGGAGATGGAGTCTTTGAATCACAATCGCACATGGGAGTTAGTTCCCCTTCCTGAGGGTAAGAAGTCGATTGGTTGCAAATGGGTGTATAAGAAGAAACCAGCAGTAACAGAAAAAGAGGGGGAGAAGTTCAAGGCTCGTTTGGTAGCGAAGGATTTTTCACAGCAGAAAGGAGTTGATTATAATGAAATCTTTTCTCCTGTGGTCAGGCACACTTCAATCCGAGCAGTACTTGCATTGGTGGCTAGTTGGGATTTGCATTTAGAGCAGATGGATGTTAAAACTGCTTTTTTGCATGGTGATTTAGAGGAGCAGATCTACATGCGGCAACCTGAAGGTTTCACTCAACCTGGAAACGAGCATTTAGTTTGCAGATTGAAGAAATCTTTGTACGGGTTGAAACAGTCTCCGAGACAGTGGTATAAACGGTTTGACTCCTATATGATCAAAATTGGCTACAACCGATGTGAGTATGATTGTTGTGTCTATGTTAAGAGCCTTGATGATGGTTCTTTTATTTTTCTATTACTGTATGTTGATGATATGTTGATTGCTGCGAAGAACATGGATGATGTTATCGGTTTGAAAACTTTATTGAGTCAGGAATTTGATAAGAAAGATTTAGGTGCTGCAAAGAAAATTCTTGGAATGGAAATTTGCAGGGACAGAGACTCAAGGAAACTGCGGCTATCTCAACGGGGTTATGTTGAGAAAATGCTAGAAAGGTTTGCGATGAGCAGCGCGAAACCAGTTAGCACTCCAATGGCGAATCACTTTAAGCTCTCATCAGAACAGTGCCCTAAGACAGATAAGGAAGCTGAAGATATGGCAAAGGTTGCGTATTCTAATGCTGTTGGTTGCTTGATGTATGCGATGGTATGTACTCGTCCTGATTTAGCTCATGTTGTTAGTCAAGTTTGTAAGTACATGTCTAAACCTGGTAAGCAACATTGGGAAGCAGTCAAGTGGATCTTTCGATACTTAAAGGGTACTGTGGGACATGGAATTGTTTTTGGGAGTCAGCGGGATAATCCATTGGTTATAGGATATGTGGATTTAGACTATGCAGGTGACTTGGATAATAGAAGATCTACGACAGGGTATGTCTTTACTCTTGGTGGAGGGCCTATTTGTTGGAAGTCTACTGTTCAATATGTTGTGGCTCTATCTACAACTGAAGCTGAGTACATGGCAGCGGCTGAAGCTGCAAAAGAAGCTTTATGGCTTACTGGTTTAGTGAAGGAGTTGGGTGTTCAACAAGGTGGAGTTCAATTGCTTTGTGATAATCAAAGTGCTATTCACTTGGCTAAGAATCAGGTGTATCGTGCTAGAACTAAACATATTGATGTAAGGTTCCATAAGATCATAGAGTTGGTTGCATCTGGAGAGGTTTTGTTTCAGAAGGTACATACTGATGAGAATGCCGCTGATATATTCACCAAGCCTGTTACGACAGACAAGTTCAAGCATTGCTTGGACTTGTTGAATGTTTCGAGTTGTTAAAGAAGCAAGGTAACCCAACCCACATTGAAGTTTCCAAGGGGCAGGATATTCGCTAAGGTGGAGATTTGTTAGGTATAACTCATAAATATACAAGTAGAGAGGACAGGAGATGGAGCGGAGTGAGCGAAGCGAACATCAACTGTCCTTACAAAGAAAGTCTCGTTGTGGGGTTACGAATTATGTGGGTTGGGGGTGCGGGGGCGCATGCCCCGTGGTACGGTACATGGTTGATTTTGTAATTATGTACCAGGGTTTTCTATTATAAATAGAGATGTAACCTAGACCTAAAACATCATTGAATAAAACTTCTAGCGCCGCCTAGGCACCGAGGACGTAAGCACATTGCCGAACCTCGTAAAATTCTCGTGTTCTTTTGTTTTTCTTTACCCGTTTTCGTCAACACAAACCCTATGAAACTGTCATTTTTTCAATGATTTTTTACAGTCAAATCATATACTAAGAGCTTCCTTTGTCATTCTCTTTTCTTTTTACATGTTATATTTCATCAAAAAAAACTTTCAAAAGACAGAAAATTTCAGTTAAATTATTATTTCGACCACCAAATCGTAGTGTGTATGAGATATGTCGTACTCCTCATCCAGTGAAACTCTTTTATCATTAAGATTAGAGAAACGATACTTCGACAGCATAAAATGGGAAAATCCAAAGCTTTATCTTGCTTTTCCTCTCTTTTTCTTATACGTTTATCCCAAGTTTTAATTTATTATAATTTTATCCTCATACTTTATTTAAACTAAAAAGTTAACCTAATGAAATAGTTAAATCTTAAAGTAGTTTGGTGTACTTACATTTACTACATATGGAAGGAGAGGAATTACAGACGATGTCGGGGGACAAATAAGTATACGGGTGATATAATTGATTGTATTAAATAAGTTATTAAGATTAAAATGTATATGAGGATAAGTAGAAGTGATTCTATTAACTTAATTCTTTGTAAGCTTGAGGGATACAAAATTAATCCCTCAGTACATTGTTTGTTCTTGTAGTAAAATGTTATGTTGTTTCTTGGGTAATATACAAAAGGTATTATCCAAAATAATAAATTAGTTAAATCTTTTCATTAAATTATTAATCTACAAATAAAGGTGACAATGAAACGAGAACGAGACAAATGCTGACAATTTTTGTAATTTTGTAAAATGTAAGATGAAATTCTCACAAATTAAAAGAAATGGACTAACTTTTCAATTTTTATAGAATGAAAGGATGAAATTAATAATTAGACCTGAAAAATAAAACTATCATTTCATCCTTAATTAATAAATAGAAGCCTTTATCTTTTCACATATATATTAAAATAAAAATCAGCAAATATTACAATCAAAGGCAGCCAAGTAAATACGGTAGTTTACATCAAATCCCAGTTTTGAGCAAATCAGTTGACAAATTCACAGCTCACAAACTCCATTTTGAAAGCTTCAATCGAATAAATTTAAGTAAATAAACCCAACACAACCAAAAACAAAATAAATACAGGGACAATGAAACTGTTAACACAAGAAAGTTAAACAAAAGGCCAGCTTCAATTGTGTGTTTAATTCATCACAGTTGCACAACACATGCAGGTGCCGAAGAGAGAAGCTCTAGGCTTGCGTTTAACTTTACCTTTTGTTGTACCAGATGTGACAGCCTTAACTGAAATAGAAACCTTTGATGTTGTTGTCTCCTTTGTTGCAGATTGGTTGTTTTGTTTAATTGGATTCATTAACATGTTGTTGTTGTTGTTCTCAGCTTCTTCGTCTTCTTTCAAGAAGCCAAGGAGTGGGGTTTTCGACTTCTCGGAATCGCTTCTTTCTAGTGTAACACCTTTCTCATGTGCTGCCATTGATTCATACAGTGATGGGGTTTCACTTTTCTCGGCGTCGGCCACTGGTTTTCCATGATCCGTAACCTCGAGTTGGCTTGAGAAGCTGTCGATGGTGGTCTTGTCTTGGTACAGCAATGGTGTTTGATCCGAGTCTTCGGCTCTTACATTGATTCTGAGATCGAGATCGAAGCTCGGCGACTTACGCATGGTCGTGTTATCCGAATTCGATTCCATGCTGAGCCTTCCCACACTTTCTGGTTGGTTATGATGATCACCATTGGCAATAGCTTTAGTCTCTGATAGTGTCAATGGAACATATGAGTCTCCATTTTTTCCTCTTGGTGCACCATTTTCAATGGGATTTGAATCTTTGTTTTTGCCAACCATTTCTTCTATAATTTTCTTCTCTTCTGTTTCTTCTTCTTTGTGCATTTGATCCATGGGAAATGTGTATGCAGAATCAGTGACCAGTTGAACTTCTTGTTGCGAGTCCTTTTGTTGTTCTTTCTGGTTGTTAATAGATGCATCAACTGGATGACCATTCTCGAGAATCTGTGCCTGGTCATTCATCATATATTGAGGTGAGAATTCACTTGGATCATCAGCTTTTGATCCTTCCTCAGATCCCTTTCCGTTCGATTTCTCTATCGCGTCCTCTATCAATGCGGCTTTTTGACTAAGAACTATGCCTTTGTCTTCGGATTCAGAAACTTCGGCCTGGATGTTCTGTGTCTCATCTAAAAGGATAACTTCAATCTGTGGTTCAGGGGAATCATTTTTAGTTGAGTTCATCTCAGTTGGCAACTCTCCAATGCATTTGGCTCCACCTCCCATAGGCAAATTGGTCATTACTGTAGTCATACTTCCTAAATCATTCCCAGGTTCATCTGTTTCCATTTCTATCTCCGGACTTTGGTCGGCAAAAACCCTCACAACCGGATCAGTTGAAGTGCTATAATCTGAAACAAAACCATTTTCCTGATCTTGGCATGTTAAAGATGGTATGAACCTATCCTTACTCTTCAGTGGCCCATTGCACTGTAACACCATTTGTTCAGCACCGATTTCGGTTGATTCATGCTCTTCGGGTTCTATAACTACTACCGATTCTCGAGGCACAGAATCACCTGATGTAGAAGATTCTTGATCAGATAATGAATTGCTAGCCCCCTCATCTTCAGCTGCAAATTAGCACCAAAAAAACCAAGATGGAAATCTTATGTTCATTGCATATCTAAATGAAGAACATTTTTATAGTCAATTGATACTTATGACGTATCAGTATCTTGTGGTACTCATCACTGAAGAGTACTAACCTTCCTTCATGGGATTCTCATCCTCAACATCGTGAGTTCTTCCAGACAGAACCTCCCCGAAATTCGATTCTTTTTGCATCTCATGATCTTCCAGGTTCTTCGATGAAAAAACTGGTTGGGTTTCGCTGCCCTCAACTACTTCACTTGGTTTTGCATCAGCTTCTGTAGACTCAGCTGGAGGATCAAGTTCAGTTTTTCCTTGTTCTGTAAACACCGAAGACAAAAAGTTTCAAACTGATCACTCGAATACGAAACTCAATTAAAAGGGCAAACAGATTCAAGTTCAACTTCTGCATGCTAATGACTCACTAACCTTGCCCTTCCAATGTCTGGTTATCAAGAGTATCATCTACAATCACAAGGTCACCGGAAGCAGATTCGGCCTCTATGTTATTACAATCTTCATCTTCAGCTGCTGGAATTGTTAGATTTTTCCCTTCAGTATCATCTTTTGCCATAGGTTTCTCTTGTGGTTCAGCACTTGTATTGCTCACTTCTGCGTATACCAGGATTGTAAACAGACGACCAAACATTGATAAATAAAACACCGCACGTACTAACCTTTCTCATGCTCTTTCGGATTGTCACCTTGAAGATCGACGGTTCCAAGGGGATCACTCGAAAATATCCCTGTCTCGGTTCCATGACTACTTTCATCTCCACCTGCAGGAACTAGGAGACCTTCCATATTTGTTTCATCCGTACTAGCACCTTCTTTCAAGGGCAATTCCTCTACTTCAAGAATTGTGCTAGTATGTTGTTCTACATGGATCCATCATCATAGTAAGTCGAAAAAATATATCTTTTAGCAAGTGGGAATAACCAACCATACATCAGTAATCAAGATATATCCTAACCTTTCTCATTGTGTGTCGGGTCCTTGATACGGGGAGATGCTAGGCCATTATGTTCAAGAGAAGCCGATTCCGCCTCATTTCCCCGAGCATTGTTATCCTCAGCTGCAGGAAATAAATGATCTTGTCCTTTTTCCTTTTCTGCATAACCAGTTTCTTTCATGGAATCTTCCTTATCTACTGGAATCATGTTATTATCTTCTTCTACATCAATCATCATCATCATCATATACAGAGAACCATATATTGGCAAATAAATCACTGTATTTCTAACCTTTCTCATGGTCTTTAGGATTGACACTGTGAAGATCTGCAGTTCCCTCGGGATCACTGGAAACTAAGCATGTTTCATTTGCATAAGTAGCTTTATCTTCAACTACAGCAAGTAATTGACCTTGTCTATCCATTACATCTGTGCTACCAGCTTCTTGTGAGGATCGCTCCACGATTTCATCATTTATGTTCATATCCCCTCCTGCGCCGGTTCAACACGGTACGAATATGTAAATATAATTTAGAAATACTATCGCTGAAACATTGTTTTTTTGCATTAGTTCATTGGAATTGGAACATATAGACAACAAAACATCATATCCATTAACCTTTCTGGTCAGGTTTCGGCTTGTCAATACATGGATGAACCATTCCTTCACAATCACCTAAAACCAGCCCTGTCTTGCTTCCATGAGTACTTCCGTCTCCACCTGCGGGAACTGGGCGAGCTTCTGCATTTATTTCATCTGTACTAGCATCTTCTTTCAAAGGTATTTCCTCTACTTCAAGAAATGTGCTAGTATCTTGTTCTACATCAATCCATCATCATTGTAAGTCGAAAAAAATATACCTTTTAGCAAGTGGGAATAGCCAACCATATATCAGTAATCAAGAGATATCCTAACCTTTCTTATTGTGTGTCGGGTCATCGATACGGTGAGATGCTAGGCCATCATGTTCAAGAGAATCCGATTCCGCCTCATTTCCCCGAGCATTGTTATCCTCAGCTGCAGGAAATAAATGATCTTGTCCTTTTTCCTTTTCTGCATAACCAGTTTCTTTCATGGAATCTTCCTTATCTACTGGAATCATGTTATTATCTTCTTCTACATCAATCATCATCATCATCATATACAGAGAACCATATATTGGCAAATAAATCACTGTATTTCTAACCTTTCTCATGGTCTTTAGGATTGACACCGTGAAGATCTGCAGTTCCCTCGGGATCACTGGAAACTAAGCATGTTTCATTTGCATAAGTAGCTTTATCTTCAACTACAGCAAGTAATTGACCTTGTCTATCCATTACATCTGTGCTACCAGCTTCTTGTGAGGATCGCTCCACGATTTCATCATTTATGTTCATATCCCCTCCTGCGCCGGTTCAACACGGTACGAATATGTAAATATAATTTAGAAATACTATTGCTGAAACATTGTTTTTTTGCATTAGTTCATTGGAATTGGAACATATAGACAACAAAACATCATATCCATTAACCTTTTTTGTCAGGTTTCGGCTTGTCAATACATGGATGAACCATTCCTTCACAATCACCTAAAACCAGCCCTGTCTTGCTTCCATGAGTACTTCCGTCTCCACCTGCGGGAACTGGGCGAGCTTCTGCATTTATTTCATCTGTACTAGCATCTTCTTTCAAAGGTATTTCCTCTACTTCAAGAAATGTGCTAGTATCTTGTTCTAATCAATCCATCATCATGTAAGTCGAAAAAAATACCTTTTAGCAAGTGGGAATAGCCAACCATATATCAGTAATCAAGAGATATCCTAACCTTTCTTATTGTGTGTCGGGTCATCGATACGGTGAGATGCTAGGCCATCATGTTCAAGAGAATACGATTCCGCCTCATTTCCCCGAGCATTGTTATCCTCAGCTGCAGGAAATAAATGATCTTGTCCTTTTTCCTTTTCTGCATAACCAGTTTCTTTCATTGAATCTTCCTTATCTACTGGAACCATGTTATTATCTTCTTCTACATCAATCATCATCGTCATCATATACAGAGAACCATTTATTGGCAAATAAAACACTGTATTTCTAACCTTTCTCATGGTCTTTAGGATTGTCACCGTGAAGATCTGCAGTTCCCTCGGGATCACTGGAAACTAAGCATGTTTCATTTGCATAAGTAGCTTTATCTTCAACTACAGCAAGTAATTGACCTTGTCTATCCATTACATCTGTGCTACCAGCTTCTTGTGAGGATCGCTCCACGATTTCATCATTTATGTTCATATCCTCTCCTGCGCCGGTTCAACACGGTACGAATATGTAAATATAACTTAGTAATACTGACGCTGAAACATTGTTTTTTTACATTAGTTCATTGGAATTGGAACATATAGACAACAAAACATCATATCCATTAACCTTTTTTGTCAGGTTTCGGCTTGTCAATACACGGATGAACCATTCCATCACAATCAACTAAAACCAGCCCTGTCTTGCTTCCGTCTCCACCTGCGGGAACTGGGCGAGCTTCTGCATTTATTTCATCTGTACTAGCATCTTCTTTCAAAGGTATTTCCTCTACTTCAAGAAATGTGCTAGTATCTTGTTCTACATCGATCCATCATCATTGTAAGTCGAAAAAAATATACCTTTTAGCAAGTGGGAATAGCCAACCAAATATCAGTAATCAAGATATATCCTAACCTTTCTTATTGTGTGTTGGGTACTCGATACGAGGAGATGCTAGGCCATCATGTTTAAGAGAAGCCGATTCCGTCTCATTTCCCCAAGTACTTTTATCCTCAGCTGCAGGAACTAAATGATCTTGTCCATTTGCCTCTTCTTCTTCTGGTGAAGATTGTTCCTCGGCCTCATCTTTTATGGTAATATCTTTTTCTGCATCAGTTCAATAGCAATAGGAATATGTAAGCATAATTAAGAAATACTGATATTGAAACATGTTTTTTCATGCTATAATTCATCGGGATCGTAACATGTTTTCCATTGGTTAACCTTTCTCATCATGTTTCTGCTTGTCAACACGTGGATATTCCGTTCCATCGAGACCACTGAAAACCAACTCTGTCTTGGTCCCATGAGTACTTTCATCTCCACCTGCAGGAACTAGGCTAGCTCCAGCATCTGTTTCATCTGTACTAGCAGCTTCTTTCAAAGGCAATTCCTCTACTTCAAGGATTGTGCTAGTAGCTTGTGCTGCATCAATCCATCGTTGTTATAAATCGAAAACTATCATTTAGCAAGCATGAATAGCCAACCAAGATATATACCAACCTTTACAATCGTTCTCCATATCTTCAATACGAGAAGATGCTAGGCCATCCAGTTCAAGATAAGCCGGTTCCATCTCATTTCCCCAAGTATTTTTATCCTCAGCTGCAGGAACTAAATGATCTTGTCCTTTTACCTCTTCTACATAACCAGCATACCTTAGCAAGTTCCTGCCAAATTGACAACCATATGTAATGGCAGTGAATACTATATGACTAACCTTTTTCATCTTTTCCATTTACATGTATATCTTCAGATGCAACAACTTCATGATCTTGTTCCTTTCCGTAGTCCTTTCGACCAGCATCTTCCATAGATTTCTCTCCTTCAGTTTTCATGTCAACTTCTTCTGCATCATTCCATCAGAACATTATACATACACATTAACATATTTCGAGCGTTTCAAATGCTGAATCCACTAACCTTTGTCTTCTGTTGCAGGAACTACACGATCCGGTTCCTTCAAATCATCAGCGTGATCAAATCCTTGCACATGTTTACCCTGGACCGTGTTATCTTCTTCTGAAACAGTACACACCAGCATCATCCTAAGTAGCTTAACATGTAGAACATTTTAGCGTTAACTCAAATACAAATTCAGACGCACACCTCGCAAACCGGAAGTGTTGTTGTTCCCCATTTCATTCCCCATGTTCAAAACACCAAGCCCTGAATATATTGAACCTTAAGGATCAATGCCTGTGATAGCTAGAAACTTTGCTATTGAAGTATATGAACTAAAGGGGAGAGCCTAATTCAAAAAAATATAAAACATTTCCAAGAAAAGACCCATACCATGATGATGATGATATTCACATGCACATAACGAAAAACATATGAGTACGGATTGTGATGTCTTTGAGACCTGCCAGGGTGTTCACAGCAGTTGATGAAAATGGTGACACTTCATAGGTATTTTGCTTAAAGCATAAGCCTAAGAGAGAAGGGTCCCTCGTCAGCCTAATTGATATAAAATCTGACTAAAGTTGCTCAGCATTTGCCTTATATTTCTCCTTTCCTTTTTGTGAGACATGGACATTATTCTTGATTTTTTTTTTTACATAAAACTGTGTTGTTGTTGTTGGATTATTCTTAAATGGGATTATTCCAAATTCTAGGCAATCTTAGAGGAACCAATAGGTTAATCTAAGCCTTTTTCTAGGCACTCATTGCTGTATGTTCAGCAAATATAGGTGTTTAGCTCGTCTATGTTGTCCCAACTCTTCATTTTTCTTGAAATACTCGTAACAGACACTCGTGTTTGAAGCATATTTAGGCATAGATACAAGGATCATTCAAATACATGAAAATCTTCTGAAATTATCAATATCAGCCATATATTCGAGTAAAATATATAGATTTTAATTAATAGTTTAGTCTTATGAACAGGTAAATCTATGGGTTTTTTTCCAGGAGGAACATGTTGGAAACGCCAAATGAGTTGGATGTGTAAGTCGTCTGATCAAAGACAGTTGAGAGAAATGTAATAAGAAAAAACCTGATTTTGTTCAGAAATATTGATAAAAAGCATAAGAAAAAAGACCCTACATGGCTGTGCAGAGTTGAACTTTATGATAAAAAACGATAGTCCATATGAATTAGTCTTTCATCACATTGACAGATCTTCAGCATCTAATCCACTCAACATTATATTATATATATACATATATATAAAAGGGTTTTAAGCAATATATTGAACTGGTATTGGCCAGCTTAGGGTATCTAACAATTCTTTTACACAGTAATGGGTTAGGGAATAATTGTTGTGGTAAGGCCATAAAGAGGCGTGGGTCTTTTGTTTTAGTTTTTGGTATAATCACTCGGTATTTTCGGACATAATAAAGATTCATTTTATCAATTTAACTTATTATATTTATAAAACTATCATTCAAACCATGAAAAATATTTAAAGAATTTAACGTCTTATCTTATTAGATAAACTAGTAATTAATTAATGCACATAATTGACTACATATATTTGAGTGGTTATATGTAATTCTTTTATAAATCTTTTACCTATGAACAAGCTCAAAAGCTAAGTGTAATTGGACCCATTTCATCTTCTTTTTATCTAATTGAGGGGGAATGGCAGGAATATGGTGGGTGGGGGGTATCCACCATAATAATTTCTTTAACTAAAGATTTAGACTTTGAAATTATTGCACCATTTGGGGGATGGATTGGGGGCAAGAGTTTGCCTTTATTAAAAACTTAGTCAAGCTTTTTGTGCAAAAATTAAGGGCTTTTGAGGTGGCATATGAATCAATAAAACATACCATTAAAGAAACTTTAAGCTTTGATTATAGATATCCAATATTAGATATTGTCACAAAATATTGAAATTGCTTTTTTAATTCCATAGATGAATTGAAATGTGCACGAATCATTGAATGAAAATGTGTATTGAGTTGGCATTCAACATACACATTTTAAAAGAATTAAATTAGATAAATAATGATAATACAAATATGATGTGTTTAAAAATTATTTTAAATAAATTTTAATCGACGAAAATGTAAATGAGTTAAAAAATGTTATGGATGTTATATTTGGTGAGTAGAATGATCGTATATGATGATTTGTTGATTTAGTGTAGTATATGTTCAAAGATTTTCATCCCTTTGACAATGAACGTTCATATCCCTGCATATGCGGTGCTAAAACCAAAGACCTAAAAGGGTAACAACAAATCCCTTAATCATTGAGGTAACTTGGTTTGGGCTCCTTTTAAAGTTCAAATCCAGAAATTAAGGATAGGTTAACTTCGTTAGAAATAAACATGAGCTCTCATCACTTTGAGCAATCTCAACAACGGAGATAATACAATTTTCTTTTGTACTTGAAAACATTTCGACAATCCATGTTTCTTCATAAGAAAACAACAACCCTCATGTTCAATGGCTAAGGGCAGCAATGGTGGATGCCTCAACAGGCATCCGAATTACAAGGAGGCAAAGTTTCGTGTCTATATGAAACAGTGACTCGTATTGTTTTTATTGAAGAAATCTGGACGGAAACACTTCACAAGGTCCAGGTTATGTACTGGAGATGTATATAAATATGGTGTTTAAGGTTTCATCTAAGAAGGAACGAGTTCCGGAATTCTGCCATCCTCCGACGGCATTAAGCTGTCGTAGTACTCGACCGGCACTTGCCAACTACCGGGGCACATAAATCCTGCAGGAGACTTCTCTTTGTTCTTTGCCAACAGAAAGCACCTGTTTTTGTATTAAGTTGTGCTCGATAACAACGACGTTAAATCTCGTGTCATTTCAATCGTCAACTAAGATAAACTTCATTTTTAACTTTTTACTTATTTATTTTTAATGATCTGGAGTGATTAAAAGATATTATGTGTTTAAATTCTTACTTAACTACTAACATACATCCTACTAAACCACCTAATTCACTTAATGAGTTCACGTCATCAACTTTTGTATTAAGGCTGTACAAGTCAATATTATTAATGCTAATACTTTAGTCCAAATCATTCATAGCAACAAAATATAACAGACAATTAAATTTTCATTGATACAAGTTCAATTGGATGTAATTTTTCTATGAAAGTTTAATTTTTTATTAGATATTTTTGATACCTCTAAACTAAAATAAATATACGAAAAAGGTTTTCTATTGAATATTATATTTTAAACAAAAGGCTTTATAAATAATTGTTTGAGAATTCCGACATGGTGGCCGGATATGAAGAACGGCCGGTGGCCGGTGTTTGCATGTAAGTAACAAAACTACTGCTATATAATTAGCGATTTAGACTTTGCTAAAAGGAAAAAATATTAACAATGTATTTAAAAATAACGTGGATTGTAATACATGGGTTGAAGCCTACTTACAACCATTGGGTTTATATAACCCTAAATCCATAACTAACTATTAACAAACCTAACAAATTAACTAATTACAATTGACTCAATCTTATACTCTAACAAATTGGTTCTTGAAATTATATTCAAACTCACATTTTTGTCATAAATTCTTTTTCCACACAAGCGACTCTTACAATTTATTCTGTCATCATTTTTACCTCTTTCAAGACACTATTTAAAAATTACCTAGACCTTCTTTAAAAAATTGATGAGTAACATATGAAGGATCAAATTAGAAATAAAGTATAGTTAAAGTGTCAAAATAGGGAAAAATTAAAAAGATGTTTGCAGTATATTTATTTTCTCATGATTTTCTCTCGTTTCGCCATCTTCTTTGGATTTCAATTGATTTTAAGGATTTTAAGATGTTTTCCAAAAAAAAATTAAAAGGGTTAAGGACATTTAATTAATTAATATAATATCATGTAATAAATTACTGAATTATTTACTGTGCAATGAATTACTGAATTATTTATTTTACATTTAATTATCATGTAATAAATAGGAGTTAATTGCATTATATGTCTGCAAACTATAATCATCGTGTTAAATTGGTCCTTAAACTTTTGAACATTCTAATTTCATTCCTAAACTATGACCCTATTTCTAAATTGGTCCCCAAACTTTTGAATACTTGATTTTCATCCCCAAATTCATCCAAATATGTAATTAGTTTCAACCATAGTTTAACCTATTTTTTTAAACATATAATAATATAACTTGACCTAACGATTTTATTAACAAGGGACGTGATTAGTACATACATATAGTTTGGGATGAAATTGGAATGTTCAAAAAGTTTGGGGAGAAATTTAGAATGCATTTCATAGTTTGGGGATTAAAATGAAATGTTCAAAAGTTTGAGGACTAATTTAGAATGGTACTCATAGTTTAGGAATAAAATTGGAGCATTTAAAAGTTTAGGTACCAATTTAATATGAGGGTCATAGTTTGAGGACATGTGATGCAATTAACTCAATAAATAGTTAACTTTGTTCATAGACTTAATTAATTTACATAATATCAAAGAAGATAACATAACGGACTTAATCTAGGCCCAATTTCGTGACAATACGCTGACATGGCATAACTCCTTCCCACAATCTTTTTTTCCGGTAATCATAGCAGACTACTACTGAATTTTGAAATCAAGCGGGAAGCGACTCTTGAGTTCTCTCCCCACACATCAAAAAGCGGATCTCAAGCGTTGTTTAAACGGAATTTAACAACCTTCTCGCCCCCAATAAATAAGAGGTTCTTCGTTAATTCACTCTCATTTTCAAATCAAAATCTCCATTCCCTTTGTTATCTGCAACGAAGATGATCGGTACTCTCAAGTAAGTTTCAAATTCAACATTTCTTTTATTTTTTTCAAATTCTAGTTCCTCGTTTTTTTTCTTTCTTTTTCTTGTTTGAATCGTAATTTGAAATTTGCATGAAAAAGCAGAGCCGAAGAAGCGAGCCAGTTACAGTTGGTGGAGCGAGAAGATGTCGATGACGAAGAGGATCTGTTTGAAGCCATCGACAAATGTAAACTATTTTGAATCTTCAGATTCTCACTTTGTTTCTTTATGAAATTTGTGATTCTATGTCGCCCTGAACTCGTTTTGAAGATCTTTGAGTAATCTCTGCTAAGGTTTCGTGATCTTCTCATATCAGATTTTACGTTTTCTTAATCTTCATTTTGAGCTTATATTTTAGATTTGGATGACTTCGTATTTTTTTTCTTTTTCGATATGTTTAAGTTGTCAATGTCACGATTTCTTTATTTTAATAGCTTGATTTACTACACTAATCTAGAAGTTATATTTTGATCGTTTTGGGCTTCAGATCAGCGTTTTTCTCTGTTTCAAGTTGTAAATTGTAATATACAAGAGTTTGTTCGTTGATGTCGTTTGTAAATCTTTTGTTGAAAATACATTAATGTGAATTTGAACACTTCTCTTAGTTGTGTCATCGGATTTATCGTTTTCCAAAGGAGATCATAGATTTTTAGTAATTTTATACTCTTTAATGAGATGATGCTCAACGAGCTTTTCAAAATGTCATATTTGAACAGTAAAATTTCTTTTCGGTGCAGTGATATCTGCAGGAATCAATGCCGGAGACGTGAAAAAGCTTCAGGATGCAGGGATCTACACCTGTAACGGTCTGATGATGCATACTAAGAAGGTAGATTCAAATTTAATTAATATGATTGGAGTTTTTAGTATTTATGAGGGTAACTGTGTTTTTAAAATATTGTCATATATTCACGTCTTTTGCAGAACTTGACTGGAATCAAAGGTTTATCTGAAGCTAAGGTCGATAAGATCTGTGAAGCAGCAGAAAAGATAGTGGTTAGTGGAATTCATCTCATTGATTTTGTCCTTTTATTTCTTTTGACAATTGTATAATTTCTATTTCTCTTTCATGTTTTATTTACAAGAACTTTGGTTATATCACCGGAAGTGATGCTTTACTAAAAGTAAGTTTCAGATTTCGAGTTTTAAATTTACTTTTCTCATTTCATGTTTTTAGTTTATGTTAAAACTGATATCGATTTGGGTATTCTTGCTTTTGGTTTTGTAGAGAAAATCTGTGATTCGCATCACAACCGGAAGCCAAGCCCTTGATGAACTCTTAGGCGGTAAGCGCTTTTCTTTTAAGGGAGATACATTATATAGTAATATTTTAGAGTTCTCTGAAAATGATTTTATTAATAAACTTTAAAGGTGGAATCGAAACTTCGGCTATCACAGAAGCTTTTGGAGAATTTAGGTAAGAACAATAACTAGTTTACCATTTTCTTCTTTATTGATATTAAATACTAATATCGTTTGCTGCTAATCATTTTTAACTTGTCTCCTAATCTACGATGTTGATTTAGGTCTGGCAAAACACAACTGGCACATACTCTATGCGTTTCTACACAGGTTTTTATCTCACCTCTGTGATCCATGATTTAACCTGATAATTTTGTTGATTCTTAGAAAATGGGGTTAAAAGAAAGAAAACAAGACTAGAGCTAACCTTATACTGTGTTTACAGCTTCCTACAAACATGCGAGGAGGAAATGGGAAAGTTGCTTATATTGATACTGAAGGAACTTTGTATCCTTTTTGTTTTAGGACAATGCAACAAGCGTTTATATACAAAATTCTTTTGTATTTTAGTTTCTCGTCTGGGACGTATCTAAGAACAGGGTGTTTTCAAAGTGTTTCCTACTAGATTCACTTTATTCGTTTTCTTTTAACTACCTACATTTGCAGCCGGCCTGATAGAGTTATACCAATAGCGGAAAGATTTGGGATGGATCCAGGAGCTGTTCTTGACAATGTAAGAGCATCGATATCAATATATCATCAATTGAATTGTAGAAATAGGTTTTTCAAACATTTTTCTTATTTTCTATTTATGTCAAAGATCGTTTATGCTCGTGCGTACACATACGAGCATCAGTACAATCTGCTTCTGGGTTTGGCAGCAAAAATGTCTGAAGAACCATTTAGACTTCTGGTGAGCCTTGTCGATAACATCATTCGATAATGCCTGACATCATGGACTCTGTTTGATGATGTTTGCTCGTATTTTCAGATTGTGGATTCTGTTATTGCTCTATTTCGAGTAGATTTCACAGGGAGAGGAGAACTTGCCGAACGCCAGGTTTGTCTCGAAAAAGCTTATTACAACTCTTAAATATTTGTGTTTGAGATCTATCTCCTCTTTCATCAACTTAAAATATTTTCAACTTAAATATTCTGTTATTGGCAGCAAAAATTGGCTCAGATGCTCTCCCGGTTGACAAAGATAGCTGAAGAATTCAACGTAGCAGTCTACATGACCAACCAAGGTTCGACCTTTGATCAGTCCGGTTTACCTCTTTACTACAAGTGCAGAACAAGGGATAGTTAGCGAATTTGTATTGAACTTTTACCAGCTGAGGGGAAACTACAAGTTCAACGCTAAACTATATGTTATTATGGTGTGTTTGTTGCAGTTATTGCCGACCCCGGTGGCGGAGTGTTTATATCAGATCCAAAGAAACCAGCCGGTGGGCATGTGCTAGCCCATGCAGCCACAATAAGGTTGATGTTCAGGAAAGGCAAAGGTGAACAGCGCGTGTGCAAGGTGTTCGATGCTCCAAATTTACCGGAAGCTGAAGCAATATCCTTTGACTGTTACCTTTTTTTTTTTTAGTTTTAGACCTTTTCTGATTGAATCGAATCACTTAAACGATTGTGTCAGATTGCTACAGATATTTGTTTTGGTTATCTCCTTAACGGAAACACGTGTTTCAGATAACAGCAGGGGGTATTGCAGATGCAAAGGACTAGGCTTAGAGGTGTTCATAGACCAGCAATGGCAGCAGCTACAGTCAGACAGGTCAAAGTAATATACCAACATCTTTTCTATAACTATTAGAACAACATGCAGTTTTTTGTTTAATTGAGTGTTTATAGTCCTTCGTATAACTATGATTTGCCTTCCCATTCGTATATTCCATACGTTTGGTAAGTTCTTTTATATGGGCAGACAAGATTCACTAAAGGGGAATTGCAGGACACTAAAGATAAAGCTCATATATTTTATGACATGCTTGAAAGGGATTATGTTACTACAAAATCCATTAATATTTGAAACCTATTCGAGGTATGAACAAATCTAATTAGTAGTAGAACTGTTTTTAATTATACGAATCATACAGCATCGCGGTCAAACAAAGGTTGGTGGAAGATTTTTTAATAGGATTAACTACACTTATGGTCAATAAGACAAAATTATCGATAAGTCATAAGGTGATCACCTTATATCTAGCACATTAACAAAAAAAAAGATTGATATTTAATTTGATCCTTAAGTTATAACTAAAATTTCAGTTTAGTACTTCAACAAAATCTTATCAACTCCTGATAACCTTACATCCTAATAATTTGCTTTCCAAAGTTAATGTTAGATTGTGTAAGCCAAATATGCCAATACGATTTTTGAAAATATTTTGTGAGAGTTTCCGAAAACTCAAGATGAAATCGGCGTCATTTGTTTTAAGCTAGGTATGATCAAATACCTTTAAACTTGGTTTGTATTTAATATCATGATCAAAATTGGGCTTGAGGATTGGTTACGCACGAAAATTAGAGCACTCTCATGATACCTAAAATCGATACTTTTAAATAAATCGAATGTTAACTTAAATATATTAATATTTAAATGAATATTGCTAAAAATGATCTAATAAACTAATTAATAAATTACAAAAAAAAAAAGAACTTACAGGGAGCAAAATGATAATTAATCTGAAAATATGACTAAATTGAATAAAATCAGAAATAAAAAAATCAAAATACCAATTAAACAAAAAAATTATAATAAATAGAAGATGGAAAGATAGCATAAATAAAGATAATTATTTGATACAAATACAAGAGTGATGTAGATTTTCACTCCACAATCAACTCTAATCATGATCCATCGTTATGTATCTTTATTTTTAAAAATATGAATCAATAGCATATAGTTTAAATTAAATCGTTTATAAAAGGAAACATCATTTTAAAATAAATTTTTAATGATAATATATCAAATAATAATCTATATTATTATAAGATCAAATTAGCAGTTGAAACCAATCTTTCAATCATGGCATATTGTGCAACACCTCCACCATCAATATAAAAATGGTGTGGACCAAGCTGGATTAGGTTAAAATGAAAAACAAAAGGGTTGGTGGAGGAATTTTAACTTTTTATAGTATAAGAATCAGCATCTTTAGACTTCGATCAGGTCTTCTCTCTCTCTCTCTCTCTCTCTCTCTCTCTCTCTCTCTCTCAATAACAGGAAACTTCAGTCAAGTTCTAGCTTGGTTTGAAATGGAGAAAGTGCCCCAAATTCAACATCCAAGAGTCAAATTAGGTAGCCAAGGATTGGTGGTAAGCTCCATTGCTTTACTCTTTCACTAAATGGAACTTAGCTCAATTCTTTGCTTAGTCATTTATTGTACTAGGTTAATCGGATATGGTCAAGAATGGATCGAATAGATGGAAGGGTAATCTTTTCTCTGAAATTTTTAAATTTGTATATAATTTAGATATTTTCTTTATATTTTTTATATGAGTATCGGATATGAGCATGTGACTGTAGTCTCATAATCACAGTACTAAAATGCGGTTGCAGTCGTAGTTAAGGTTGAGGGTGTAAGGGATATTACGATGTGATTTGTTTCTTAAAAACAACTAAAATTTTATATTGTGGATGCAATTGCAGTCTCACGGTGTCTTTGAAAATCTGTACGATGCGGCCATTACATTGTGTTGCGGCCACAATTGAATATTGTGCTCGTAATATTCCTACATATCTTACATGTGCAGGTTTCGAGATTGGGATTCGGATGTGCGGGACTTACAGGAGTGTTTAATGCTCCTTTATCCCATGAAGATGGATGTTCAGTCATAAAAGAAGCTTTCAACAGAGGTATCACCTTCTTTGATACATCTGATGCTTATGGGGAAGAACATGACAATGAGATCATGCTTGGCAAGGTAGTGGCTTTTGTACCCCCAATCACCATTTATAAATTCTGTGTTTCATCATCAAATTCATTTTCTATGCCCTGATAGGCACTGAAGCAGCTTCCCCGAGGCCAGATTCAAGTAGCAACTAAGTTCGGTGTAATCAAATACGAATCCGAGGGGAGTCGGGTATATGAGATCAGAGGAACCGCCGAGCATGTTCGAGCTTGCTGCGAAGCAAGTCTTAAGAGGCTTGGTGTGGACTACATTGATCTCTACTTTCAACATCGTGTCGATACAACGGTGCCCATAGAAGAGACGGTAAGTATCAAGAGATCGTTTCATTAGTATTCTTTTCTTTTAGCTTAGCTTCAATGCAACATATGCCTCTGTTGATTGCTTTGCTTATTCCAAAGATTGGAGAGCTGAAGAAGCTTGTGGAAGAAGGCAAGATAAAATACATTGGATTATCAGAAGCTAGTGTCGATACGATAAAGAGAGCACATAAAGTCCATCCCATCACTGCTTTACAAATGGAGTATTCGCTCTGGACTCGTGAAATCGAAGATGAAATACTCCCTCTTTGCCGGTATACCTATATTACGCCTTTGTGTTCCTGTGATACTTGTATTGCTTTGAATCATAAATTGCATAAATTCTTGCAGAGAGCTTGGAATTGGGATAGTGGCATATAGTCCCCTTGGTAGAGGCTTTTTTGGAGGGAAGGTAGTTGTGGAACCTATGCCCATTGGGAGCCAATTGGTAATCGGACAAGCAACTAATTCTAGCCTTTTTTTTAAGTGAATATGTCATGATGAGTCCCAACTCGTCGGACCATGTCGTGGCATATAGTCTGATGAGCCAGGCTGAGTCATGACAATATATATAGAACATCAGATTTCAAGAATGGGTTATTTTCTGGAACAGGCAAACCAGCCAAGGTTCATGGGGGAGAATCTAGAGAAGAACAAAGTTCTATATACCCGAGTTTCGAGCCTAGCTATAAAGCATGCCTGCACGGTTCCTCAACTTTCTTTAGCATGGATTCTGCATCAGGGAGATGATATTGTCCCAATCCCTGGTATTATGATTACTTGAGTCATTTTGCCTCGTATTATACTTAGATTGACGTGGTTTTGCTCTGCATCGTTGTTTCGAATTTAGGGACGACTAAAGCGAAGAACATTATTGACAATGTCGGATCCCTGGCGTTGAAGGTTAAACCAGAAGATTTGAAAGAAATTACTGATGCTGTGCCTCTTCATGAAGTGAGTGGAGGATCAGATTTAGGTGTACTCTATAAATACTGTTGGAAGTTTGCAGATACTCCATTAAAGTGAATGAAATGCATGTTCAGGCAGTGATTCTGGACTTGATAATCTCCCCCTTTATCGAATTTGTGTATTGTAATGATTGATTTTGTTATAACAGCGACTTATTATTGCTTCCGAGTAGTGTAATCTTAACGACAAATATCGAGATTATGTTACCTCGTCTCTTCATAATTATGGGCACGATTAAGGATGATAAATGAAAAGGATTAGGGTTTATTTTTTTCAAATAGTTTTCAACCTTTTTTCATTTACTAGGCACATCCCTTTAAACAACAATTTGTGATTAACAAATCAAACAATTATACAATCCAATTAAAATAATGTACATGTAACATAAATCCATCTCAAATTGATTTATCTAATTCCAAAAAAGCATCATTTGGAAACACAATCCTAATCATTTTCAACTAGAATCTGACCCAAATCTTTTGATCCACTTAGTCTAACGCACATTATAATAACATATAATGTTACAATCATAGCCCCACAATGTACAACAATACCCTCTAAATCCAAGAGCCAAAGGTCCAAATTTAAAAATAAAAAGACAAAGTGAAAGCTTTAGTTCACATGAATATATACATACATAAAGCAAAATGAGATCCCTTTCTTTCTCTTTTTGACCATCCCTAGTCCAAAGATACTCCAAAAGTTCATTTCCACAACAGTGAAAAGAACAAGCAACTTGGAAAATCACATGGATCTGGGATACTTTGACGACATCTACGGAGATGTTCTAATGATGTTTGAACGTTTATTGTCTAATCATTAATTCTTTTGAGCAGAACACTATTTCATAATCATCCCATTTTAATAAAAAAACTTCAATTTTTTATAGTTCAAAAATGAATGAAAAGAAGAAAATGCTCACTAATCCATTCTTTTTTCTTTGATTTCCAACTTCTTTTACAATATTTAAACACCCAAATATCTAATTTGAGACCCTAAACTGCCTAAACCCGACCAAATATGTATACCCTCTTTTGTTGTCAAGTTTTCTCAAACCCCAAACTTTTTTTTCACACCCTATTCCTAGTGTTTTTCTCAGCAGCAACGGAGAGCAGCCTTGACACACCTAGGGTCCATATATCATACTCTCTCTGGCTCTTGCACTCGAACTCAACCACGCCGCGCATCACCGTCTTCATCCCAAAGTATCTCCGATTCTCCCCGCCCTCTAGCAAGTGCCGTCCGGGCCACGCCGGCATATCTTTAATCACCTCCAACACCACATCTGCCCAAAAAAAGATTATTGTAATGTGAAAGACAATCCCTTTTGATCCTTTTACTTTAGTGACACTCTTTTGCTTTTCTCAAATCCCCAAAATTGGAACAAAGAATTCATATTATTAGAGAAAAACAAAGGCAATCAATCACCTACTCTTTTTCTTTTTTGTTATGGTCCCAGCAATATGCCTGCTCTTCATCTTTAGCATAACCTTAACAAAAGAAGTTTCAAAAGAGTTAACGAAAAGAAAACGATCACACAGATTTGCGTGAAAATTTTACGGGAAGAGAAGAATAAATTCATTATAATCGACGATAATATTCCGAGAAAAACACCTGATTCATTCTGTTTATGTAAACGGAGACAATTTTCCAGTGAAGATCACCTGTGTCATTAGCAACAATGTTATCAACTTGAGTTCAGATATATTTGGAATATCAAATATGTTTTGAGTTACCTTTTCGGGTGCGCTTGAGAAGTTCGCAACCTCGAGCAAGCAATTCCCTGCTGCAAATTCCCAAGAAATTCTCTTCCGGTGGAAGCTCACCACTAAAGCTGCCATTAGAGCTACCATGATTGCTGCCGTTGCAGCCATTTTTATTATTATCCACAGGGATTACAGCTGCTATGTTCCATACTTCCTTCAACGCCCTTGCCTTCAGAGTGGCTGCCCCTCGTAACGCTGCGCCGATAGTTACGGATTTTATATTAGGGGTTCAAAATTAAATTAAAACTTTTCGAAAATGATGTACCTGTTGCTGCACCAGCGGTTAAGGTCATGATATCGCCGGCAGACCGGACGTTGACGGCAGAGCTGATGGCGTAGGCCAAATGGTCGCGTTCAGCTCCCATAGCTTCTGCAGCCTCCACGCATTGTGCGGCAACGAGGGTAGCAGCAGATGCCACAGCCATATCCGTCTTCGCCATCTGCTCGTTTTTTCCGGCACATGAGGAGGCCGCGGTAGCAGCCGCAATAGCTGCCACTGCCGCGGCAACTCCCGCAACGGAAATGGCAGCGTGTAGCTGAGCGTTATGAGCACGCGTCTCTTCCTTTTTCTTCTCCCTCCTATCCTTCAGCCATCGCCCCACCGTCTTCCCACTGCCAGTCACGGCCGTCGTAGCGGGAGTAGCCGCTGTGCCTGTACGGTACTGCATGCTGAGGGAATTATTGGCGCGGAAAAATTGCTGCAAAAGGTAAAGGAAAACCGAATCTTATCCATGAATCTTAATATTATAACAATCATTATCTATTATTTATTATTAACCACCGCCATTAAAGAAAGCTTTCAGCTTTATTGAGCTGTAACGAATCGTTTTGGGGACCAGCGCGCCCTGACTCGTAACCAGAAGAACATTGAAGATTTTCGGACAGAAACTAAAAACAAACGAAGGGCAACATTGGTAATCCAAAAAACCATTAAAGTATTAATCTCCATTGATAAAGGAAGCAGCTTTGGTTACAGAGAAAGCCTGAGATTTATGTTTCTGATTCAGTGTCTCAGAAGCTAAACCCATGCTCTGTTCTTTTGCCTAGAAACTGGCGAGAAAAAACCAGACACTTATCAACAAAATTTTGATTCCTTTAAAGTAAAACCATTAACAAACCTTAACATCATCAATGTCCGAAGGTGAAACTGGTGGGCTATCTGTTAATGGTCCACTGCTATGAGATAACCTCCCTGATGTTCTTGGAGATACTTCTTGCTGTTAAGACAAAACAGACAACAACAGAAGCAAAAAGAAAAGATTTTTAAAAGGTAAAACATGGAACAAAGTCCATAAATGTCCCTATAAATGAACAAAACAACAAACCCATGTTTTGTTTTGAAAGGAAAACAACAAAAGAAGATGAAAACCTTAAAAAGAAAATTTCTTACCGATTGTGACATGATTCTGTCGAGGACCATTTGGGAAGTTTCAGAGGAAGCGAAAGAGAAAGGGTTGCCGGAAACGATGCCGCTTTTTTCAAGCTGCAACTCGCCGGCGATGTCTTCTTGTATGACGACGTTACCACTGGAAGAGCCTTTTAAGAACATTTGATGGGAAGATGAGGGGTGAGAAGGAGGAGCTAAAGCCCTTGAAACTTCTAAAGCCGAAATACTCCATGAACGTGACAAGAACTCCATTGGTTCGAGCGGCGTCTCCGGTGGCCTGAAAGGTGCCGGCACCGGGAGCAGCTCCGGTGTCCATTGTTCAACTACTGGCTTCTCCATTTGTTTTGGCTTTCCTTGTGGTGAGAGAAATGAGTGAGCTGTGTTTTATATAGAGAGTGACAGTGTTAACAGGGGAATGAAATGGTCGTACTTTTTTATTTCTTTAATGGGGGATGTCAAAGTTGTAATTTTAGGGAGGGGTAAAGGGTAAAACTATCAATATGGCCATAATTTGGATTGGGTGTCACGTGCTGGATGATGAGGTACAGTGTGGTGAAATCAGCGAATAATCATTCAAGAGGAATGAGTAATACTAATTCTTGGGGGTTATGATTGCCATTTTTTGCATTATTAAAATATATTTTTGTGAATTTTTTAAGTTTTCCTATTTTAATATATGAGTAAACTACGTATTTAATTAAAAAAATCATCACGACCAAAATATTTTTTTTCAAAATAAAATGATTTAATTGCTACAGAAAGTCCATTGAAATTGCTTCACAAAATTCCATGATTTAATTGCTTCACGATCTTTTTAAACAAAATGATTCAAGTTATGAATTAAATAATTTTTTTCATTAAACAGTTTTTTTAATAATTTATTATATTAAATTTTAATTTTAATAACATATTAAATACTCAACCCATAAATTAAATTTCATATCAATTTTTTATTCCTAATGGAAATTTCACATATTAAATTATTCAACCCATAAATATAATTTAAGAACAAGGGAAGTCTCACGTTCCTTAAAAATTTCAACCAAATCAAGACTGACCAAGGCCCCACTCAAGTTCCAGTGGGTGCAACCTTTACTTCCAGTAACCAACTGATGTCTGCCACATAATAGAAACAATTTGAGACGTGGAACAGGTGATCAGCTGATCCTGTCCATTTCCTAACTGCATGACAGACAAGTACAGAGAGAGAGAGATCCCTGACTGAATAACCAAGCCGTTGCCTTCTTGTTAATTTTAGCAGTTAAATCAAAATAAATATCAATAAGTTGATAAAGGAGAAAGAAACATTAAGAATTTGAATTTTAATGTTTGTAAAATAAATAAATTGGATTGGAAGGATCGACCTCATAATAGATTTATGTAAAACTCGATTTGGATTAATCAGTCAATCTAAAATTGTATAAGTTTAACAATCTCTCCTATAATTTTATAAATTCGCACACCCAAACATATAATCATGCATTCATTCTTAGTTGGCTAAAGCTCCTTTCAAAGAAACAATGTATTCTTGACAATTTATTAGACTCTTAGTTTTAATTAGGGATGATAATTTAAATTATAGATTCAAACATTTTTAAAATAGTTTGGATGAATACAATGTAGTATCTACTTATAATATTTTTTAGTCATTTACAATACATACGACTACAGATACAACTTAAAATCTCTAAAAAAAATAACATTTGATTCATTGCTTACCATAAAAAACAATTCACACCAGCAAAACTTCATAAAAATAGTGACATTAGCTCAATGTTTGTGTCAAAAAGAACATTTTGAGTGTTACCCAAGAGTCAAATAAGTGGGCGGAAGTGGGATTATTTGAAAAATGAGGAATCTTTTGTACTTCTTTCAACAAGTGCTGAAAACATTCCTTTTACCGATAAAAACTTAAGACAAAGGGAAAGGAAGTATAATTTCAATGTATGTTCATT